GTTAAGCTCGGAAACTAAGTTGGCCACCTTCGCTTGGAGGTCAGCATTCTCGGCCATCACCCCCCTACTCAGCTCAAGCTCATCTTCCCTGGCCTTATGGGCCGCCTCAAGTTCACTGCAACGGACAATGGCCTTCATCAGATCCTCATCTCGCTCTCTCAGCTCTTCGACTTTCTATGCCGATTGTTTCTCCTTTTGCTTAATACCGTCACGGAACAGCTGAAAGTCGTTGTCCTAAGTAAAGAGATCAGCCAATGCATGATGCTTGGTGTGGTATTCCTAATATTTGGTGGTTATCTTCCCATAAATGGCTTTCCTCCACTTATCCCTACGTTTACGCTCGATTTCCATGATAAGGGTTAAGTATGAAAAGCAAACTCAAAGCAAAGAATAGGCTAAGGATACAAAACAGAACCAAAAACAAAAAGAAAAGAATAAGGCATTTACCCATAGAGCCATGCTGGAAATGCTCCATGATAACTCTGCGTCGCTCATCGCCTTAAGTGTCGCATTCTCAGAAGCAGCGCAAAAGGGGTAAACACCGACGCCGTCTGCTCACTGTTCGACAACAAGTCGTAGTTTCCAGGAATGACAATATGTCGATCAGAACCCTCCATCTTTATTTCTACATAAGTATGACGTTCCATGAACTCTCGTGCATCTTCTGGGTTGACGTCCAAACTCGAACTGTCGCCCTCGGCATGTATGACACCTCCAACGACAGATGATGTGCCACCTTCGATAGAACGTGCAGATCCCCCTCCTTGGTATATTCCTTCGGTCCGGGGAGACCGTCCTGCCAAAATGGCATCCGCCATAAAAACAGGCACTGGTGCCGTCTCCGACGCACCAGTCCTGCTCTTTCCAGCATCGGTGGCAACTCTCTTCCCGAGTTCTACCCTCCTCCTTTTTCTCGACGGAGATTCATCCCCATTGGAGGGCTCATCCACAAGATGATGGAATGGTCTGGAGGAGATCTCATCCCGAACAATCATGTCATGAGAAGAGTCTCTGGCCTGTATGGGTTGCGCATGGCTCCCTCGGGCGGACTCAACCAAGGTAAATTGCATCCCTACTGATGTGATGACCTGGCGAAATGTAGGGATTGGGGTCGCCTTCCTGGAAGCCCTACGACCAGTCACCACAAAGAGTCGTATCAATAAACGGCGGTAAACGGCCAAAGGTCAGTACAGAAAAACATTTACCAGATGGAACCTTCGGCCCAAAGCATTTCATGAAAGTGGGTCAATCTCGAGTCTCCGCCGCGTTAGGTAGAAAACGGGCTAGATACCAACGATGGGATGAGGTGTGGGCCTCGCAGCTGCATGGAAAGGTTAGAAATAAGCACAAAGTTGGAAAGAATGAAAATAAACTACAAATACCAACACCTACAGTTGTGATTCCACCGTTTCTGAATTCCAGTTGTGTTTGACACCAGATGCTCGGTTCTAACGAAGAAGTATTTATGCCAAAATTTGCGGCTTGCCTGGTCATCTGTCCTAACCACCAGACCCTTGGTCCCACGATGCCTTAAGTGTATCATAGTACCCTGTGAAAGCTAGGGGAAAACAAGTGTAAAAGGTGATAAAGGCCGACTTCATACCCCGCATTCCGCGTACTTCGTCAATACCAGAAACATCTTGTACGTATACGGAGATAGCTGCACCGGGAAGACTTTATAGAACCGACAGAATTCCTCTGTTAACGGAAGAAGAGGGAAGGAATGGCCGATCATAAAAGGGTACACATAAAATACACAATACCCCGGTCTGTGGACATCCACGAAGTCCCTCCTAATCAAAACTAACTCGATATGAGAGGGAACGTTATACGTAGATCAGAAGTCATCTATGTAAGCATGTTTAGTTTGAGAGACCACCGGATTAGGAGAGAGGACAGGTTTCTTAAGAAAATCATTCTGATACATGTTGTTTCTCGGTAATATCTCCTCCACGGTGGGAAGACTGTCCCCTTCTTCTACTGTCATATCTTCACCACCAGAGGGAGGTGCCATAGATAGCGGGGTGGCGTTGGAAATCTCTTCGTATGACTGATGTGTTCTAGGCATCTCGATGGCAGAAGGTATATTGATAAAGCACATAGCAAAGAACGATGAACGGAAGAAGGTGAGAAGAAAGATCACGAAAACAGAGTTGGAGATACGAAAAGAAATGGCTAAAGAAGACAACACATACACTAGAAAGGAAATGACCAAAAGTTCTTTTAAGAACTAAACCTTCATCTATTTATAAGGTTGTGTGGTGCCAGAATCGAAGCGAAAATCAGCCAGAGGCACCAAAACCAAAGTGACAAGCCAATTGGTATCTGCCTCGGGAAGACGCACAATGATGACGCACGTGGTAGTGACGTCATCTCCCGATATGTTATACTATCTGGAATACCGTGGAACGTACCACTCTTTCGTTAGTGATCAAACCGTCACAACCCAACCGCCAAATTTCTCCGCGGGTATGGGCGGCGTCCGCTTATCAAGGACACACAGGGCCGCGACCTCAACAAGCAGAGGGACTAACTGTATGGGTCCAAATTTGGCAACCACGACCATTACTAAGTAGGACAAGGAACGAGGTTATCATGATGCACCGTCTGGTGGTCGTCGTGGTGAAAGGCAACGATTGAGGGCGGTCAGTCGATGCATGACATCCATGACAATGTATACTTAGTGGGAGACAACAAGAATATGCCTTTCGAATATTCTCTATGTTGTACTTTCTAGGGTTTTTTGGGAGATTGTCCCCTATAAATAGGAAGGGTGAGTAAAGAAAAAGGAGACACGGAAAAAAAAAGACAAAATAACACTTTGTAAAAGATCCTCTAAGAGTGAATACAAAAGCAGTATTGTTCATCTGAGAAGATAAAGAGATTCCCCAATCATCTCATATTTATTCCCCCTTTAACGCTGATTGCGCCTTTCAAGCTTGATTGTGCATTTAAGTCTTCACATTTATGAGCATTCATTCGATTCCAACATATTTGTTACATCATTCATCTTGCTTACTCTCTCCGTCTCTTGATCTAGATTTTATTATGTTTAACTAAGATTTACCTCATCTTTATCATTATTTATTTTAATCATAAAGGTTTTGACATCTTTTGGTCAAACAGTAACCATATAGCTTTGATATAAAGAAACTACAACTAGAGATAAATACAAAGACTCAATAGTAGGAAGCACATTGATGTTTAGGTCAATTCATGTGCACCTCGATTATTCCATCAAATACATGGTATTTTTGTCAACACAAGTTTTGGATAACTCTACTCACTAAAGGGGGAATTTACATCTATACCCAGTTTTGGGGTCACCATTAAACTTATACCCGCTTTGCATAAAAATTTGCAAGTGAACCCACTTTAGGATCAACTTCAGACTTATCATGTTTGAAGATGAAGAAAAAAGAAAACTACAGTGCAAAAATTACACTTAAAATGCACTTAAGACCAAATAGGTCTGAAGTGCAATAAATGATTTCCTGCACCTAAGGTCAAATAGGTCTAAAGTGAAAAAAAATTACACTTAAGATGCACTTAAGGTCAAATAGGCCTGAAGTGCAAATTGCTCCGAAATAGAAATTTGTTATTCAAATTTCAACAATCCAATACTCGATTCAACAGCTAAATCTACTATAAATGATTTTAAATTTGAAACGTAACATCCAAATATCATAAAAAACAAACCTCAATCATCCATTCGTCAAAATAACAATAAATCTAACAAACCTATTTTGCAATTAAGAAAAAGAAAGAAACCCTAAGCAATAGCAAAAAAAGGAGCGCCACAGCAGTTCACTACTGTAAAACATCATAAACTACCTTAAAACCAGCTTACAATTTGTAAATTTACCTTCACATTTGTTTTTACAGCGACTAAGAAGGAGGACGAGGACGAGGAAAAGGCCTGAAGTAGTATGTACTTCGGATACTAATTTAATTTTTTTTAAAGTGGATATAAGTTAAATGTGAGCCACCAAATAGGATGCCCCATAAAATTTTGTTTCACTAAAGTGCAGCGATTCCGAATAACTCTATTTACCAAATATTTTCATTTTGCTAAGATTTGAATCATAATCTCTCAAAATATACCTCATTTTTATCGCAGGAATACGTATTCTCAATGGGTTAAAATGTGTTTTAGGGGAGGTGCAAAACAAAATCTCAGCCCTGAGTTTGGATGTAAAACGGGAAAATCGGGTTGGATATGAGCCAATTAAAAATGGGTAATACAAAAACTGATGAATCTATCCGACCCGACCCATATTTAATATGGATAGAAAATGGGTTAACCAGCTGATTTTCCTCAAACTTGAGGAAATCCCCAATTTGAGTCTTTATAAATATAAAAGTTAAACACATCGGTTATTCAGTTTTTTAAATGGATAATATGGATCTTATCCATATTTGACCCATTTATAAAAAGTTCATTATCCAACCTATTTTTTTTAATGAATAATATGGATGGATAACTATTTTTTATCCATTTTGCCACCACTAGTCCTGAGGCACAAGCCACAAAGTGTAAGTTCGTGAATTTTTTATTTTTAGATCAAATTTTTTTTCTAAAAGGTCATCATATGGAAAGTATAGAAATACAACTCTAATTAGTATATAAAGTTAAATAAAAAGTTCGTGAAAGCTAGTTTAACTATCTAAACGTAATAATAGAAGAAATAATCAAAATAGTCGCCCATCCAACCATTTAAATTAAAATTAGTCGACAAATGTATAATATTCATATATTCATGTAAAATCAGTATATAATTTATATATACCAACTATAAAAAAATAAAAAGCAAATTTAATCGGCTGTTTGTGTAAAGATCTCAATGGTCATAATATAGTGATTGCAACTAACGTCGTTGAACTATCTCCTAACGTTGGGCCTCCCAACAATAGGCCTATTCCGTTGGGCCCATTATTGAATTATGAATAATTAAGATGAGCCCAAAAAAGCCTGCAGGTGAAGCCCTAAATAGTAAGCTGAAATCTCAAAGTTCTTCAGCAAATCGACTGGAATCGAACGAGCGAGAGCAAAAATGAACTCAATGGTGGCATTAGGGAAGAAATTCACGAGAAATATTCAAGATCATAAACGCAGGCTTTTATCAGCTAAGTATGAATTAAGGCGAAAGCTTTACAAAGCGTTTGTTCAAGATCCTGAACTCCCCCCTGAAATGAGAGAAGCTCATCGTTACAAGCTTTCGAAATTGCCAAGGAACAGTTCATTCACTCGAATCAGAAATCGTTGCGTTTTCACAGGTCGGCCACGTGCTGTGTATGAGAAGTTTAGAATGTCGCGTATTGTGTTCCGTGGTTTGGCTGCTCGTGGTGCTTTGCAAGGTGTTAAGAAAGCTTCTTGGTAGACTTACACCCCAGGTAATTTTATTTTCGATTGTTTTTTTTTTAACATTTTGATTGTGCTTGCTTGATTTTGCTGGAATAACTTAGTGCGAAAAAGTTGTTTGAATCTGAATTCTGCATCTGGGTTGTGTCGTTAAGACAATGTTATCGCTGCCTTTGAGCTAAAGGTGTTTGTTGAAATGTCTTTATGGGAATTTTAATGCTGTGTCTTTTTTAACTTTCAGGAAATTGTTGCATTGCAGCTATCGTATTTGATACTCTCTTTGTCCCAATTTAATTGGCAAGCTTTTGTTTTTATTCTGTCTAAAAAAATGACATTTTTCTAAGTTTAAAAATAATCTCATTTTTTCCTTAATGACATGATGTATAGTTCATGTTTTAGTCCACAAGTATCAAAAGTCTTTGTTTTCTTTCTTAAACTCTATGCTCAGTCAAACAAGAACACATGAAAATGGGACTGAGGGAGTAGTACTTTGAGACTGTAAATGTTTTGGTATGACTCATCCCACTTTACGGAGTATGCTTCGAGTAAACTTAATCTTCTTGTTGTCTTCCTCTTTTATGATGTGAGATATGATGTTTTCTTTAGTCCAATCAGATTTTGTTTCTTCTTAGGACAAGAGTTGTGAATCAGAACTATCTTTTTCATTTGTGGAAAAGTGATCGTAAAACCTCAGAGACTGTAGCAACTTCTCTAGTTACAATTCACTGCTTCACATGAAAGGTTATGCTCTTAAAGTCTGAATGATACTAGAAAGATACACAAGTGAAAAATGCATACAAGGAAGAGAATACAGATCAACCTTCTTTGATTTGGCACTGCTTCCTCCTCCTTATGCAACATCCTTCTGCTGTTACTTCTAGATTTGGTAAATTATCATCATCAGAACATGCATTTGTTCTTAAGAATTAGAATGCGAAGTATTGAGAGCCTCAGGGATGATGCTATCATGGTTGCTGAATGAGATTGCAGTTGTTTAGGATATACAACATTTAGGTAGGAGAATGATTTTGAATTTTAGAAGAAGTTTGAAACTGGTTGTTTGAACTTTTCATAGCAATACTGTTACATGGACGATGTTCGCATTTGTTGCAGTACCCTGGCAAGTATGATGTTACTCCCTCTTTGCTGTTACATGGACGTTGTTCGCATTTGTTGCAGTACCCCGGCAAATCTGATGTTACTCCCTCTTTAACTTACTTTATTGAACTAAGTTAGAGTTGTACGTTTAAGGTGTAGATGAGTAATTATTTTCCTTTACAAATTCTATCTTGACAAAGTTGATCATCCTACTAACACATGACTATGTTCTTTTTAACACAGGATTACTTCATTAGGAATCTACCAAAAGCATTACTACTGGATCTCATATACTATAGCCAAGCAGATTACAGTCGGACTAAAGTTTATATTTCAAAAGTTGTCGTAGCTTTTTCAAATAAATCGTCATGCTATGTTATGAGACTTCTGCCTTTTCAAATATCTAGCTCTTCGGGTTGGAATGTCTGTATACTTTTCATCTCTGCTTCAAGATTTCTGGAAGTTCTGAATCTGCTTGGTGGAACCTTGCTAAAGCTTTTCATTGTCCTGAAACTTCTGATTTTATGAGAAGACCTGACTTATTACTTTGGACTCTAATTCCAGCTTTGAACTGTTATCAAGGCATGCATCTTCCTCACCAACCCCCCCCCCAAACACACGCACAGTTTTCTATCGTCTGTTACACTACCCTTCACAGTGCATGTTACACTGTTTAAAAATGACATGTATCATCCTACATTAGTTGTGTTTTTGAATCTTTTCTGTGTACTTGATTTACCTTTAGTTCCAATTTAATTTAGAACAGAGATGGAGAGGAGAAACGAAGAACTCAGGTCCAGTGTTTTCAAGTCTTTGAGGCACTACTATAGAACAAGTGAAAATAGATGCTCCATTTGTCTTCTGTCTGTATCTAATCTTCCCTTGAAGTTGAGTTTTTATATCATTTATTATTCTCGAGTTTCCATCAGATGCATTCAAACGATTCAGAACAGCAAGAGAGAGAGTTTAGAAATTAATTACCTATCATGTACGGAGTTTATTTATCAATGAAAATTTTGTTCGGTCCAAAGCTTGTAGAAAACAACATAAATTCTATCCGATAAAGAAAATAATGTCTTTGCTTTGCGCTGGGAATTCAGATTATCAGAATACTCATTTACCAACAAAGTACTTTAATAGTCAACAATACACTTTCATTTCTAGAACATCCCGACACTGAAGAAAACTGCAGCAAATTAGATAGAAACACTTCTTTCATCAAAAAGCTCCACCTCAAATAACAATACAAAAAAGGTAGCTTACAGAAAAAATAAGAACAAGCTCTACATCTTGTATAAAACTAAAATAGATGTTGGACAAAACAACAATCTGAACAGCTAGCCGTCGATCCGTTGATGGCATTTGAGATAACGAAATATACTAGAGTACTGCAGGGTCTTCAGTGGAACCAACATTCTCTGAATGGGTTGAGCTGTTGGAAAATCCCCCATCCACCACATCCCATGGTAGCAAACCACCAGTACAAGGAGGCAATCTACTATATAAATGCTGTACAAAGAAAAATAAAAACAGAGATAATAATCCTTCAAGACTTCGTTCAATCTCTTTGATTTGAAAAGAACTTTCCTGATTTGGAAGGGACCGCATTAGAGCTAGGTGCATTTATCAAACTTCCATTATGTGACATATAGAAATGGTTGTAATTGATTCTGGTAACCAGATCTTCTAAATGAGGAAACTGTCCCACATTGAGCTTGAAAGAGAGGATCTGAAATTTTGCAAAATGGTATGAGAGTCAATCAAGTCCCTGCTATTGAAGTAATTATAACGTTAGGGTTAGTATCAAAATAAGGGAGAAATGGACTTACCCTCAGGAGGAAAGCTATGCAGTCATCAAACTGTTTCTCTATCCTATTGATTTCCATTTCACACCTCGCCTTGATAGCTGAAACTGCCCCTCCACTGCTAAGAGTCTGCTGTACTGAATAGAAATCCAGAGCTAATCCAAGAATACTGTTTATACGGCTAGCAATCAGTGCCCACTGGAAAAAGGAAATTGTTTCCAGTTAACCCCTCAAGGCTTGATTCTCCATTTCCATGTTTTGGGAAGGGGAAAAAACAAATAAAGATTGCGTCCGTGTAATACCAGTTTTTCTGGAACAGCGAAGCACTGCCTTTGAATAGCCAGCAAGTAAGCCTCGTGTATTTCTATGACTTCATCCAATGATCTCGCTGCAGCCATACCGTCACAGAGTTCACCCCATGCACTGTGATACACCTACAGTCACATGGCGAGATACTCTTAACAGATATAAAATGTAGCAACAATTGTTTGCAAAGGCCGTCCTTTTACTGATGTTTGATGGCATTACAGTCAAGTGCAGATAATGAACAGACTAATATTTTATGTTTCTAAGAGCTTTGTGAATCCATGATTTCTTCATTTTATCAAGCATGTCAGAAGCGGCATTTATCCCAACTAGTTTGAGATAGAGCCTTGATTGATGATAGAAATTGCATTTACCTTATAATAGGGGTCTAAGCTCCGGTAAAAACACAAAGCAGAAGGCAACACTGTGATACTAGTAATTGTTTATGAGAACATAGAAGAATATAAAGGCAAATTATAAAATTTGTACTTTCCACGAAGAAATCACCATGCCCGTCAATCCACCTCATGTTGCAACAATTTTCCATCAGTATCAGTGCCCTATACTTCCCCAATAGAAATGCAGACTGGCAAAAGCCACGACAACCAAAGTCAAGCAAATTTTTTCACAAATCAAGAGAGCAGGGAAGATACTGGCATACAAGAAGACACAGTATTAAAAAGGCAAGATTGATTTAATAACGAAGAGAGAGAGAATACCCGGTCCATCACATATTGGTGGAAAGCATCCACAAAATGTAGCAGTTTTTGTTCCAGTAACCAATGATGCTTGCGGTTAATAGATGTGGAGCTTTTGTCCTGGAAGACGAAGTTGCTAGGTTAACATTTTAATAAGAGCAACTAAAGGAACCTGTTAGAAGACATAAAGTACACCATTGTTAAAGAAAATGGACCTTTGGCCTAACTCAACCCCAAAAGCTTATTTAATGAGGAAAGATTGTCCAAGACCATATAAGTAGACAAATAGCCCATCCCTTAATCAGTGTCGAACACTTAACACCCCCTCGCATGTATCTGGAGCGTGGACAATATAACATGGGTCCCAACATCGAACAAATCAATAATGAGATGAGTTTGGCTCTGGTACCATACTAAAGAAAATGGATAGCAGTTGACTCCAAATGCTTAGTTTATGAGGTGATGATTCTCCAAGATCATATAAGGAGACAAATAGCCCATCCCTCAACCAATGTGGGACACTTAACATAAATGTTATTGAATAGCTAGCAATTTCTATTTGGTTTGCAAAGTAACTATAGCAAAAGAAGATAACAGAGAACAGACCTTCCACATCCACCTCCGAGCTTTATCAAGAACAAATTTTGCACGTCTGACCTTCAGTAAGAACCTCATAACCTGAAAAAGATGACAAAACTACTGAGCAGAACATTTAGACCGATTGCATCATGAGGGGAACTACAGCAGTCCATTAGCTACCTGATTATACTTCTTTATTGCTTCTGTATTTGCAATTAGTTCAAGGGGCCAAGGAACCTGTTACATTTCAACATTTAACACAACATGTCAAGGTTGTAAGACACCACAGATCAGACAGCCCAAAGCACCACAAAACAAGTAGCATACCTTGTATGTAAACATGAGTGTATCCAGGCCATCAATGCCAAAGTTCTGCCCTCGACTCTTTCGAGGTGTCGAAGTTGGAACAGGCATACCATGCTGGTCATCATCACTAGTGGCATTATTTCTTGTTACAGACACAATTAATGAATCCGGCGAGCTTAATAGCGTGGCATCAGCAGAGTATCGGATTGATTCCTGAATTAAAATAAAGGTTAAGTGCATACAAAAGGGGCTTCCTCACTTGCAGACTCAAGGGACTGGAATTAGAGAAGTCAGACATCAGTAGCAGAAAACAATTTAAAAGTCCAGATAATAGGACAAATAGGAGCGGGAAACACCAATTATTGGCTTCTGCAGACGCCAAAGGCTGCAGTAGTTTTAGTTCAACCCCTTTTCAACAATTAAAGATGAAGGCAAACGGTCTATCTGATCTTTTATTCTCCTTTTCTGATATTACAGAGAGGTCATTGACTTACTTTCACACAGTTCTTTTTCTTCTCTTTTTTTTTTTTTTTTTTTGGGGGGGGGGGGGGTATCGATGGTGTCCAGGCCAGCTCGCGCATACATAGTTCTTTTTTCCAGTTTGATATTTCAGCACTGTGTAAGATAATCTACAATACATATTCAGAGTTCAAACTACAGCTGGAACCTAGTAGAAAACGAGAAGCTGTTTTCCTTTCTTTGGATGCATATTTTAAAGTTGCCAGTAAGTTTGTTCAAAATTTAATATCATTAACAAGAAAGTCACCAGTCTTCCTCTTTTAGAATATGAATACTGATCAAGTGCTATCTATAGATAAGAAAATCAAGTTGTTAAAAGGAAAGGAAAGAATTGGAAAATCTTTTCCCAGCTGCACGAATGGCACTTTTCCTTTTGGGGGGTTACAACTAACTAATAGAGAAGCCACTTTGACAACATAAGAGAAGAATCTTTCATAGAAAAATTCTGCCGACAGATAGATGGGAACTAATCAAGCAAGCAAAAGGATTGAGTTGACCAATTGGACCTGCAGTGTTGTGTTTAATTCAAAATCATCATCCAAGCTTTCTCCTTTGTCTAATTTATTGAAGACCACTGTCAACAAGTGCTGCAGCAAATCACCTGGAGAGAGCAATATAATAATCATGTAAAGAATGCAAATGACGATTGACTACTAAAAAGCTAGCTCATCAAAAACCAATGCAGACCTGAGCCTAACAAGTATATAGCACGCAAAACTTCCAGCTCTTCTAGCAGTCTCCACTCACATAGTAATTTTGACAGAATATTCCTGCCAATACAATCAGCCTGCAGTGCATAACAAGAGGCAGTTGGACATATACCTTATCAAAAAAAGAGATGCGGTTGGACATATTAAATCTCAACCATGTAAATATAAAAAGGTATTTTTAGCTACGTGCTACTACCTGTTTTTTTATGAAGAAAATAAGGCATTCTTGAAGAATAACCGTAGGCAACGGAGTATTCCTTGGTTCAACCCTTCCAATCCAGTTTAAGGTCCTTGAAGGGAGTGTACTATTTTCCTGGAAAGGAAACACCTCCGATACGTGATGATCCTCCTGTTCCAAAAATAATGTTAAATTTAAACTTCAAAAGATGGAATAAAATCTAGACTAAGACAACTACTAGCCATAACCCCAGATGACTTGACACGAACTATTTAAACTAAGTTCACTTAAGAAACAAACTATTTAGAGCCTAATCTTGATACAGGTGCACTTCCAACTGAAGGTCCAAAATGATTTAGCCAATCTGTTAAATCTCAAACTCAAAACCCAATCTAGCCAGTCAATAACGGAAATGTCTGTTATAATCCATGCTTAGCTCATGGTTTGATATCCCAAATGGGATTGTCAGATTCCCAAGGGAAGAAACAAGAGGAGGATGGTGACAGATTGAGAGTTATGCAAAGTGGGTTCAGAAAATGCTGCAAGTTGAAGTCTTGCATGACAAGGATGGTGCTGGAAATACAAGAAAAGCAGTAAATTTAAAGGTCCT